GACTCACAGCCTGGTCACTGCGGTGCTTCAGGTGGAACGTCTGTTTGGACGTCCTATCTGGCCTCCGAAACGAAAGAAATGCTTCAGCCTCAGATGCCTGGGTGAACAGCAGGCCTACCATGGTGTCAGCATGCTAGCTTCTTTCCCACAAGTGGAGAAAACGGCGGATCTTTTGCGTGAAGTGCTGAAGGCATCCAGCGTACTGCCGCTTCATACGTTTGTCAGGACTTACGAGGGTCCGTGTTTTCTTTCTGATGAGCTCCAGAAAACCTGGTCTCAGTTTAACCAGTCCGAAAGATACCGGCTGGCAAGGTCACTGCGCAATACGCGCTGAGGGACTCTACTCGTCGCGGATTCGAGGGGCGGAGTCGCTCTGGCTGGCCCGCCTCTCCCCTCTCCACCCAGTTAAAGGTTTAGGGTTGTGGGTCTAGCGTTTAGGGTCTAGGGTTTGAGGTTTATGGATCAGAGTCGTTGAAAAGCTTTTTCCGGAGGCTGTAACAGGGGCCAGCCCAGAGAATGCACACCAGGGTCCATTTTCTTCATCCCAGACCCTGCACCCTCTTTTTGCAGGTTGTAAGATAACTGCCGTATGGAGTCCGAACAACCCTAAACCCTAAACCCTAAACCCTTAAAGCTTTGGCAACAAAGGTGTCGTCGGGTTTAGGTCTGCTGAGCTTAGGTGAAAGCAGCCACGCAGAGCCAGTGCGGTAGCGAAGCGGGCTGGGCCCTTCTGCCGCACTTGGAACCCTCCACCCTAAACCCGGGAGCGGCTGCCGCACTTCCCTAAACCCTAAACCCTGAACCCTAAACCCTAAACCCTAAACCCTAGACCCTAAACCCTAAACCCTAAACCCGGGAGCAGTAGTGGCAGATAGTGGTCTGAGCGTTTGTCTACGGTTGAACCCCTAGTATGGGCCCTTAACCCTGGGACCCTTATATACCGACCATATACCCTATATGTACCCTTAAGGGACCCTAGATCCCCCCTAAGGGTCCATATTAGCGGCCCATACTTCTAACCTTGGAGTTTGGAGTTTAGGGTCTAGGCTTAGGTTTTTAAGCAGCTATGATAGCTATCATGGACAGTGTAGACTGCGTAGATGTCGGTTGCATGTAGAAAAGCTGAAAGTTGTGACAGATCCGGAAAATGCAGCACTGCTTAGCATTATAGTATCAGCAGCAGCAGCCGCAGCCGTACGTCGTCGCAGCGGTTGTGCTAGTGGGTGGTGGTAGTGGTAAGTGGTAGCTGTAGTAGATATGGTGGTGATCTTGGTGGTGGTAATGGTCGTCGTCGTCCTCGTCGTCGT